TGGAGCTGGAGCGATGGCGCCACAGGTAAGTAACACTGGCCTCCGCCAGTCTCTCTCCACTCTACGATCTACTACCCACCAGCGCCCAGCGCTGAAGACTACAGCTACAGCTATGGCGCCCAGCGCCGAAGACTACAGCTAGCGCTACCACTACTGCCTAGCGCTGAAGACTACTGCAGCGCTCCTCCTGAGTGCTGCGGCCGAATCCTGAAGACTACTCTGCCTACTGACTACGTACCCGTGAAGTGCATGGGAACCTCCTATGCACTACGAGGGAGGCAGGGGCTGCAGCTGCGGCTCCTGCTCGAGTACGTGAGGAACAGGCTATTTTGGGCCTGTTCCGCATCCCTGTTTCCGTGCCTGAGTCTTAGGAGCAGGTCGAAACAATGAGGGCCTGAAAATGGCCCTCCGTTTCAGGCTGAAAACTCTGGGTCTGAAAAGACCCAGAAATAGGCTGAAACGAGGTAGGGCCTGCAGGCCCTCGTTTTTCAGCATCCAGGCTGAAATGAACGGGGCCTGTAAGCCCTAAGTTTTAGGCTTTTAGGCTGAATGTCCGGGACGGGCCCTGTAGGGCCCGTGTGGCTACGCAGTATGCCACAGCAAGTCAACTGTGATGTGAATCATGTGTAGCACACTGCACATTATCAGAGCTTTCGCAAACGCCCGAACACATTCGGGCGTTCAGCCGAATGCCTTCCGAGCGTGTTCGGCCAAACATTTTTTAATTTTATTTTTGGTTTTTGATTTTTAACTCATGCTTGACTAAGAACTTGAACATGCCGCTCGGGAAAAAAATGTTTGCATTATTATTTTTACATAACATGTATCTTTTTAGATTTTTCTGAGATTAAAAAAACAAAATTATATATTTTTACGTCCGCGTTCGGAGTGTTTTCGCGCCCTTTCGCTTTCGGTCGCGAACGTTCGGGGTCGGTCGTCGAACGAGAACATGATGCCACGCAGGTGGACTAGTTGAACCTCGCTTGAGAAAGAATGATCTCAATAGTTTGTAAAAGCCAAATTGATAATAAGAAAGGGCAACCTACTCAGGAAGAAACACTTTTCATTTTATGGGAACAACGGTGTCAAAACTGCCAAGTCACTATAGAGGGACTAGGCACCCAATCAGGGAACGTGCTAATACAAACGAAGCAGGCAGTAGAAACAGAAATAAGACTCTTACGAACTGAAGGGTGAATATGAGCCTCACCTGATAAGGAATTAGTCCTGACAAAACACAAAGACATCACAAAGTCAGGTAAGGGCCAAATAGGTAGGCCAGAAGAGGACATGATTAGATTTGTGAGCTGGGTCATGCTGCCAGCTGGGTATAGGCAACAAAGGACATAGAAACTTAGGTTGATCCCCATCTGGGGAGCTCAGAGAACAGGATTTGGGGTAAGTGCAGAACGTATAATCTAGGTAGAAGTAGGAAGGATCTTCCAATCAATACTAGGTAAGGGTAATAGACCCACTCATCACACAAGCGGTATTGTAAGCCTGCAGGCCAGCGGAAGCAACACAGAAAAGGAGCCAGAGACAGAGCACAGGTGACGTGCAGAATGTGTCTTCTTCTTCTTCTTCTCTCCTCCCCCACCACATCTCTAAAAGAAAACTGCTCCACGGCCGACTATCTTCTTCTTCTTCTCTCCTCCCCCGCCTCCCCCTCATCTTCTTCTCCTTCCTCTTCTCTCCTCCTCCTCCTCTTCTGCCCATCTTCTTCTTCTTCTTCTTCTTCTTCTTCTTCTTCTTCTTCTCTCCTCCTCCTCCTCTTCCGCCCATCTTCTTCTTCTTCTTCTTCTTCTTCTTCTTCTTCTTCTTCTCTCCTCCTCCTCCTCTTCCGCCCATCATCTTCTTCTTCTTCTTCTTCTTCTTCTTCTTCTTCTTCTCTCCTCCTCCTCCTCTTCCGACTATCTTTATTTTTTTTTGTTCCATTCGCCAGCGATAGGTCGCAAGATAAACGACAGGTAAGAAAAAAAGAAAAAGAAAAAAAAACTGCTCCCTTCTTCTTCTTCTTTTCTTCTTCTTCTTCTTCTTCTTCTTCTTCTTCTTCTTCTTCTTCTTCTTCTTTCCTCCTCCTCCTCTTCCGCCCATCTTCTTCTTCTTCTTCTTCTTGGACCGCCATACCCTACCGCCCTGTTTGGACCGTACCTTACCGCCCCGTCGCCACCATACCCTACCGCCTTGCCTCCCTCTTCTTCTTCTTCTTCTTCTTCTTCTTCTTCTTCTTCTTCTCTCCTCCTCCCCCTCATCTTATTCTCCATCCTCCTCTCTCCTCCTCCTCCTCTTCCGCCCATCTTCTTCTTCTTCTTGGACCGCCATACCTCCCTCCCTGCTGCCGCCGCCGCCATACCCCACCGACCTGTCGCCACCATACCCTAGTATATACTTGGTATCACACAGGCAGCACAACAGCAGGCAACATACATGCAGAGTCCCCAACACCCATAACCCCCCACCCCCCCTCACACCAGACCACCCGCCCCCCCCCACACCCAAACAAAAA